TGTTCTAGGACCAATCAGACTGCTGCATTCTGAATCCTATTGTTCTAGGACCAATCAGACTGCTGCCTTTTGGATCCTATTGTTCTAGGACCAATCAGACTGCTGCAGTTTGGATCCTATTCAACTCAGTACATAACACCCCTCCCCTCTAAGTTCCAGTCCTGCCCGGGAGGTCGCATTCATAGTCCTCAAGGTACGCCGGTGGCCTTCGTGTGCGTTGCGGCCTGGGGTGTTCCCTGGTCCGGGGTTCAGGTTCTGGCTCGTGTTCCAAGGATGCTGGCTGTGATGGGACTGTTTGGTCTGGCGCAAGCGGCTCGCTCAGTCGTGGTTCTGGCTCCGGTGTCCTTTCGGCCTCACGGGTCCTCTCTGTATTTACTGATTCTGCCTCTCCTACTTGCCCCTGCTGCTCTATGGGCCTCACTGCCCCACTGTTCCCTTGGGACTCCTCTGACCTGTCCTCCTCCTCCTGGTTTTCTCCCGGGAATCGTCGCCGTATCTGGTCGCAGTGGCGGCGCCAGCATTGCCCCCCATCTGTTAGCACCTCGTACGACACGGGGCCAGTGACCCTGGTGACTGTGGCGGGTACCCATGCAGGGCCTGCCCCAAAATTCTTTGCGTACACTGGGTCCTGAGCCTCGAAGGTCCGGGGGTTCCTGCCTTCCCCCACCACTACCTCATCCTGAGCTCTATCGGGGTGAAGGCGGTCCAATCTGATTGCAAGGCGCCGACCCATTAGTAGTTCAGCGGGGCTCCGGCCAGTCGTTGAGCTGGGGGTGCTGTGCTGTGCTAGAAGGAATGTGGCAAGGCGGTACTCCCAATCCCCTTGCGTCATGCGGCGAAGGGTGTCCTTGGTGGTCCGCACCATGCGTTCTGCTTGGCCATTGGTGGCAGGGTGGAATGGCGCCGAACGGATGTGGCGGATGGCGTTCTGCGCTGTAAAGGTTTGGAATTCTCCTGACGTAAATGCAGTCCCGTTGTCTGAGACGAGAGTGTCAGGGAGCCCGTGGGTTGCAAACAGCCTGCGTAGTACCCGGATGGCTGCGGACGTAGAAGTGGACGGTACCAGTGCGACTTCCAGCCATTTGGTGTAGGAGTCCACCACTATGAAGAATGTTTTCCCCTGAAAGGGGCCAGCGAAGTCCACATGCAGGCGTGACCATGGTGCTCGGGCGGACTCCCAGGACTGGACTGGGGCCCTTGGGGGATCTGGGCGGGATTCTTGGCAGGCCTGGCAGTGTTTGACCCAGGCCTCTATCTCTCCGTCGATCCCCGGCCACCACACATAACTCCTGGCAAGGGCCTTCATTCTTACTACCCCTGGGTGTGTCTCGTGTAGGGCTGTGAGGACCCTTTTGCGGAGGGGCTGGGGAACAACGACCCTGCTTCCCCATAACAGGCACCCCTTGTGGGCCGACAGTTCATGTTTGCGGGTTGTGTAGCCAGCGAATTCTGGCCCGGGGCTGCTGCTGGGCCACCCCCTCCACACCCAGTCCAGGACCCGGGAGATGACCCTATCTTTCTTGGAATGGTCTGCAACTTCTTGTGCCTGAATGGGGCGGTCGGGAAGCAGCTCCAGGCTCATAACCTCTTGTGCAGGTGCTGGGTCGGGGCCTGTTTCCGGTAGTGGTAGCCTGCTGAGGGCGTCCGCATGGCCCATCGCCTTCCCCGGACGGTGAATCAGTGCATACTGGTAGCTGGCAAGGAAAATTGACCACCTGAGGACGCGAGGAGACAGCACTTGGGGGGTCTGCTTTTCGGGGGCAAACAAGCCAAGCAACGGCTTGTGGTCAGTCACCACAGTAAAGGGCCGCCCGTACAAGAAATCATGGAATTTTTTTACTCCCTTCACGATTGCCAGACCCTCCTTGTCGATTTGCGAGTAGTTCCGCTCGGTTGCATTGAGTGTCTGGGAAAAGTATGCCACCGGTACCTCTCTTCCATCCGGGAGTTGGTGTCCCAGGACAGCGCCAATGCCATAGGGCGAGGCGTCGCATGCTAGCACCACTGGCAGCCTCTCGTCGAAGTGTGCCAAGACCGAGTTTGAGACAAGCAAGTCCTTGACTGCCTGGAATGCGGCCTCCTGGCGCTGGCCCCACACCCAAGGGGCCCGCTTGTCCAGGAGTCTGTGTAGGGGCTCCGCTACCGCCGCCTTGTGGGGAAGGAAGGAATGGTAAAAGTTCAATAGTCCCAAGAAGGCCTGAAGTTCAGTCTTGTTCTTGGGCGCTGGGGCATCACAAATGGCCCGTACCTTGTCCCCAGTTGGGTGGACCCCTTCTGCGTCCACCATAAATCCCAGAAAGTCCACCTGAGGCACTCCTAGTAGACATTTTTCCCGCTTCACCTTGAGACCCGCTGTCTGGAAACGGTGCAGAACAGTGCGGAGGCGGTCCTCAAACTCCTCTGGTGTGGGCCCGGCAATCAACACATCATCGAAGAAGGGGGTGACGCCAGGAATCCCTTTAAGGAGCGAGTCCATTAGATTCTGGAATATGCCTGGTGCCACGCTGACACCGAATTGCAGCCGCTTTACCCTGAATGCTCCTCTGTGCGTCACAATCGTCTGTGCCTCTGCTGTGGCCTCATCAACTGGCAGCTGTTGATATGCTTGGGCCAAGTCCAGCTTGCCAAAAAATTTCGACCCAGCCAGGGTGGCAAGGACATGGCTGACCACTGGCACTGGGTATGCATGGGCCGTGAGGGCCTTGTTTATGGTACATTTGTAGTCTGCGCAGATGCGGACTGAACCATTAGGCTTGACGGGTGTGACAATTGGGGTTTCCCAGGGGGCATTAGGCACCGGCTCCAGCACTCCTTGCTCCACAAGTCGGTCCAATTCCTCGTCTATACGGGGTTTCAGGGCGAACGGGACCCGGCGGGCCTTGAGCCTGACCGGTCGTACTGCGGGGTCAAGCTGTAGAGCAATGGGGGGCCCCGTATACTGTCCCAATTTCCCATCAAAAACCCCCGGAAATTCCTTGCATATGGCGTCCACGTCCACTTGTAAGCTTGTGTGGTTCACCCCGGTGACGGCTAGCCCCAGTGGTCCAAACCATGCCAATCCCAGTAAGCTAATGTAGGGGCCCTTGACCACAAGCAAGTCCAGTCGCCGCATCCGCCCTCGGTATTGCACCCTGAAGGTCCCCACCCCCATGGTGGGGACCTTACGTTTCTGGAAGTCCCGGAGGGTGAATGGGGCCGGCCTGAGTTTGGGACCCCCAGTAGGACACAGTTTCCTTAAGGTCCTTGCCGAGATTATGGATAGAGTTGAACCCGTGTCAAGCTCCATGCGGCATGGGGCCCCCTCTATCTGTACCTCTACATAAATTTTCTCTACGTTGGGGTGGGGCAACTGGTATACCTGGAAGTCCGTGAGCTCCGTCGAGTTGCCTTGGTGCGTTGGGCCCCGGGACCTGGGGCTCTTGGATTGGTCATCTGATGCCTGGCGTCGGGTGGGCCGAGCCCGACACACCCGGGCGATGTGTCCCAACTTTCTGCACTGCCTGCACTCCGCGTTGCGGAAACGGCAGGTCCTCCTCTCGTGACTTTCTCCACAGCTTGCGCAGTTCCCTCCTTCTCGCCGAGGCAGCTGTGGTATGTGGGCTGCTTGAGTGCGCTGCTGTACTCGGTGCACCTCCTCCCTGTTGGATCCTGAGTCGTCGGTGAGGTCTTCATGGTGGACCCTTGGTTGGGATGGCTGGCTCGGCCGTGCCTCTTGCGTCGACCTCTCGGCAGCTTCCGTTTGGCTTTGGCTTCTAGGAGGAAGGTGAAACGGGAGGCGTACGCTTCCCAGTCTCCAGATGCTGGGTTGAACGGCGAGAAGCTGCTGTCGGTTGCCATTCTGAGTTCCTTGTGTCCCGGAGCTGAAGCCTGGATACACGGTGCGAGGCAGTGGTGCGGCAGGTGGCGGTGCTGCGGTGCTGTGTGTGGCCATCAGCTCAGCGGGATCCCACCTTCGTCGCCAGTGAAATATACTCAGAGTCGCAAAGTGATTTCATGCTCTTTATTCAGCTCATAGTGGTGAGGAGGAATGAATGAATGTCCCCTCAGAGTATCTGCTTTATATACATTATTTACACAATGGGCTGCACATGATTGGCTAATTCCGGAATTCTACTGTAAGCCAATCAGGTTGTGGATTCACTTCTATCTGGAGCATGATTGGGTGGTTCCTGCCAACCAATCATACTGCTGCATTGTTCTAGGACCAATCAGACTGCTGCATTCTGAATCCTATTGTTCTAGGACCAATCAGACTGCTGCCTTTTGGATCCTATTGTTCTAGGACCAATCAGACTGCTGCAGTTTGGATCCTATTCAACTCAGTACATAACACCACCTTCACAACCAAGGAGGCTGCTGTGCCCTTTCTTGTAGAAAGGAATCCAGCCCAACCTGGTGGGTGACAACATCCCAATACCTGGGGAGGTGCAGCCATCAGACTGCCTGCTCTTTCTAGAAGTGCAGAATTTGCCACATTTGGGGAGTCTCCTGACCTGGCATGCAGAAGCCTTCCCCCCCAGGTATCAGATAGAAGGCCACAAGATTTTGCTACACGCTGAGCCCTTTACAATAAAGAATAAACACAGCACAACTGAGCCATTGTACAGGGCTCTATGGAATATATGGTTTCTGCTAGTCTTGGGAAGTGGTAAGGATACAAATGTCTGGCCTGTCATCCGGCCACTAGGCATTCCCACCACCACCATCCCTCATTTTGCCAGTGAAGCACACCCATGTTTAGATTTCAGGTTTTGCTCCAGTTTCAGGAGTGCAGAATATTTGTTTAGCTCCAAAACATGGGATGCTTTCAGGTTCTAAGCTCTGCCCTTTGATGTTCCTTTCATTTTAAAGGCTATGTCCAGAGTAGATGCCACTTTCCATTGCCATGATTTTGGAGCTGCCAGCTAGGGCCCCTGCTGGCCAACTGGGTTCTCTCAGCCCACAGCCCTCTGCTTGGCCAACAGGGTAATGGCTTCTCTTTCTCCCTTTTGTTCCTGCAGACAACAGAAGCTGTGCTTGATGGTGTGAGCCATGGACCGCTTTGCCCACTCTGGAACACAGACAGATGCCGTGGTGGTTCTGTCTCTGGCCCAAGCAGCCGTCCTGGGCTTGGTGACTGAGAACGAGTTTTTTGGTGCCACCGTCAGCCCCGGAGGTTTCTTCTCCAGCTTCGCAGGCAGGCTCGACGGCATGTCCATGGTTGAGTTGAAGCAGCCGGAAAGCCATTGCCCTCTGGAGAATGAAGGCCAAGGTCACATCGAGCCAGCGGAGGAGGATGAAGCAGCAGAGGCTTCCTTCGGGAAACATGCCCGGAGGAGGAAGCGCCCGCCTGTGAGGCTGGTGCCAAAAGTGAAGCCTGAGAAGGGGGAGTGGGGGCAGGAAGACGGTGCTTACGAAGCATCAGTAGCAAGTGAGGGCAAGGAGGAGCAGATGGGCAGCCACCCTGTGTGCCTGGAGGAGTCCCCCTGTGAGCAGACGGTGCAGAGTAGCGCTACCAAGATGATAGATCTCAGCACGTTCAACAGGAAGCCTCGACGCCTGCGGCACCTGCGACAGCAAGCCCCAGAAGAGCTGTCCCTGGGCGGGTATGAGGAGAGGCTCCCAAGCACCCCACAAGCCACCCTGGACAGCACTCCGGGGAGTGCAGAGGCCTTCTCCAGTGACTGCGGCTTCCAGGCTGGTGCTCCTCCTCCCTTGATCAATCTGGAGCATCCTGTACCACACTCTCCTCCAGGGCAGGGCAAGAGCGAGCTGGGCTTTGTGTGGCAGGAGCCCCTGGACTTTGAGGCGGAGGCCCATGGCGAGCACAGCAAGAAGGTTCAGCTGGACCGCCTGGACATCAACGTCCAGATAGACGACTCCTACCTGGTGGAGAAGCGTTGGCAGTGCCGCCTGTGCGAGAAGTCCTACACGTCCAAGTACAACCTGGTGACGCATATCCTGGGCCACAACGGCATCAAGCCCCACTCCTGCCCGCACTGCAGCAAGCTCTTCAAGCAGCCCAGCCACCTGCAGACCCACCTGCTCACCCACCAGGGCACACGGCCCCACAAGTGCCAGGTGTGCCACAAGGCTTTCACCCAGACCAGCCACCTCAAGCGCCACATGCTGCTGCACTCCGACATCAAGCCCTACAGCTGCCGCTTCTGTGGCCGCGGTTTCGCCTACCCCAGCGAGCTGAAGGCCCACGAGGGCAAGCACGAGAGCGGGCGCTGCCACGTCTGCGTTGAGTGCGGCCTGGACTTCTCCACCCTCACCCAGCTCAAGCGCCACCTGGCCACCCACCAAGGACCCACCCTCTACCCCTGCCCAGAGTGCAACAAGTCCTTCCATTACCGCAGCCAGCTGCAGAACCACATGCTCAAGCACCAGAACGTGCGGCCCTTCGTCTGCACCGAGTGTGGCATGGAGTTCAGCCAGATCCATCACCTTAAGCAGCACTCGCTGACCCACAAGGTAGGCCGGGCAGCAAAGCACCAGGTTGAAGGGCATGGGGGGGGGCTGTTGGATAACCGAAGCCTTTTCCCACCCGTGGCTCTAAGGGCTTTTATTGAGGAGTATGTGTGTGTCTACCTGCAGTGCCCTGAAGGGGTACCCAAAGGGTTTCACCTTAGCTGGCTTGCTGTTTTTGTTGTCCTCGGGTCACCACAGACCTGGATTCTGAAAAAGAGGCCTTGCCACAATTTGGGTTAAAACTGCTTCCATAGGAGGGAGGGAGGGAGTGGGGATCCAAAGTGCCCTAGTCTCTTCCCCCTTGCTCTGAAATCCCCCAAACACTACTGAGCATGAAATCACCGTGGTTAGCACTGTCCTCCTTGGCCAAGGTGGGATTGGGTGGTACCTCTTGGCTGCAATGAAGCCTTGTTACCTGCCTGCTGTTGTCTTCAGGGCGTGAAAGAGTTCAAGTGTGAAGTGTGCGGGCGAGAGTTCACGCTGCAGGCCAACATGAAGCGCCACATGCTGATCCACACCAGTGTGCGCCCCTACCAGTGCCACATCTGCTTCAAGACCTTTGTGCAGAAGCAGACACTCAAGACCCACATGATCGTCCACTCGCCCGTCAAGCCCTTCAAGTGCAAGGTAGGTGGCGGAAGTGCAAAGAGCAGAAGCTGCCGCGGGTGGTGGACTATGAAGAGCCTGAGATCAGGGCAAAGTGGAGTGGCAGAGCCTGCAAAGACAGGCCAGACTCAACTCCTAGAGTGGCAGTGGTCATTTCCAGAACAGACTTCCCACATAAGCAACATATCCACCCTCCTCTCAAGCACAGCTTAGTCATTCCGGTTTTGCCAGCTGCCTGGACTGAGCCCGGAAATTATTTTGCTGACAGCTTTCAGAGCTGAGTGTGGAGTGGATTCTGGTTCTTGGCCATTGGCCTGGAAGGGCAACTGGGGTGGATGCAAGCAGGTGAATCCCACCCCTGCTGCCCACAGTCCAAGCTGCCCCAGCCTCTGCCGACAGGTGATCATCTCCTTTTCCCACCCCACCTTCCGCAGGTGTGTGGGAAATCCTTCAACCGCATGTACAACCTCCTGGGCCACATGCACTTGCACGCAGGCAGCAAACCCTTCAAGTGCCCTTACTGTTCCAGCAAGTTCAACCTGAAGGGCAACCTCAGCCGGCACATGAAGGTCAAGCATGGGGTGATGGACATCAGCCTGGACAGCCAAGGTAGGTGGAGTGGGGAGGGAGCTAGAGGGATGGGTCTAAGGCATCCTACACCCCCCCCCCAAGCCCTGAAAGGCAGAGGCAGCCTTCTCATGCTGAAAGGCTGCACTGCAGCTCCCTCTGCAGGCTGTCTTGGCTTGCTGGCAAAGGAGGCTGTGGTGGCCAGTGCTGAATCCACATTGCCTGCCATTGCAGCACTACCGCCCAGGTGCTGCTCACTTCTTGTCCTGTTGTCCCCTCAGATCCCATGCTGGAGCTGGCAGGTGATCATGCAGAGCTGGACGGACAGCAGGAGATGGAGGACTACGAGGAGGAAAACTCATATGACTATGGGGTGGTGGGGAACCCTGCCAACGAGTCTGCCTTGACCGAACACGCCATGAAGGAAATGGCCTACTACAGCATGTTGTAGCCTGGGGCAGACTGGGTGAAGAAGGGGACAGGCAGCTGCTTCCACCCCCTCCGAAAAGCTCTGTTCGGGCAGCACGGAATTTGATACTCTTGCCCTCTTCAGCCGTTTAGTCCTGCACTGGATCTGTGGAAGTCTTGCTGCCACCAACCCTTGACTGGGCTCTGCTGCTGGGCTGGGCTGGCAGTACTATTCTCTCCAGCTTGAAAGGACCAGGAGGGGGCAGCACTTGCCTTAGACTACCTCCCACAGCACCTTGCACCCAGCACAAAGAAGCAGAAGGCCTTGTAGTGGTGCTGATAGGCCAGGACCAGCCAGAGCTCAGTGCTACAGACACCAGGCTGTACTGCAGAGCCAAACTGTATCAGCTCCTGTATGTTTCTCTTACAAACTACCTCTGCCCTGCGCAAAAAAAGAGGGGGACACACAGCAGGGTCTCTGCCCCAAAACCAAATGGGTCTTGAGTGCCCCTTTGCCCATCCCCTATCCCTGGCAGAGCAGTTAAGCCAGCCTGCTGTGGAGAACATCCCTGTGCAGCCTGTGGCCATCTTAAATTATTATGTCATTTCCACAAGGTGGATTGTCCCACTTGTGCATAGATCTACTGTGTTTATTTTCTGTTCTGAAGAAGTTCAGCAATAAAGGAATACTCTTTGGAAGAAGAGCCAGATGAGTTGGTGCTGAACCAAAGGACGGGGTGTGTGGGGAGAGGTTCAAGGGGGGCTGAGACTTGCCTTTCCCCAGAAAAGAGTCACCATAACAGACAGTCGACATTGGGAAGCAATAAAAACAACAAGCCATGTGTAAAAGCTATAATTTAATAGCTCTATTTGGCACCATGAGGCCCAAACCACAGTACATAAATTACAGCACAAACCATTATGACCGCCTGGCAGGGGGTGGGGGGTCCAGCACTGAGACCTTCCCCCAAGCCAGCAGTAGCAGCAGGTGGGACATGTTATTGGAGCCCAAGTAGGGCGGCTAAAAAGGTTTTTAAAAAACAACCAGGTTACAAAAATGTCTCTGGTTGACAGTACAAACAGCCATATTTTGTTCTGTTAAAAATGAGGCAATCCCCCTTCCTTCATCATGTGCCTCCATGCTATGCTGTGCCCTCCTCCACCCACTACCAGCACGTTCCAGCGCCCTCCTCCAGCTCCTCCTATTTGCCCAGAGCTTTGTTCAGGTTGTTCTTGATAGCTTCCAGGAAGTCGGAGGTGTTCAAATAATGCTCGTTGAGCTTCACACTGAAAATGCACAAGGGGGAGCATGAGAAGCCCAAGCCGGTGGCAAGTTGTGCTTCCTCAACTCGTGAGAGAGAAGGTAGGAGCCACAGGCTAGCCTTGCAGCAGCCCAGGAATACTCACTTGTTTAATCCATGAATGCAGCCAGCCAGATCCTTTGTCATGGCACCACTCTCCACCGTCTCAATGCAGACCTTCTCCAGAGTCTCACCAAACCTGGCCATGGAAAAAAGAACAGCCTCTAGCACAGGAGGAAAAACAGCAAGGCCCAACATCTCCCTGCAGCCTCTGACAGACAGGCCAGACCCAGCCTCACTCTTGTTTTGCAGGGAGCAAAGCTTGTTTGTTTTCTCAGTCTTGCTGTGCTACTGCTGTTATTTGATTTGTGCATCACTTGTTGAAGCAACTAGCAGATGCAGCGATATGCAATATGGAGTGTGCCAGCAACACGCTTGACGCTCACCTTCAAGCAGGTTTTTCACAACACCTTCCAGGAGCCCAGCCTTTCCTTCTTCAGGGTCCCCCTTTTCCCCTGGGGGGCCCAGGGCACTCTCCCATTACAGTATCTGGGTCATTCTTATGCCTGTACTTCAAAAATCTCTGTCGTGAGCCTGACATAATTGCTGCCCTATTCCCTCCCCGCCAACTTGCTCTCCCACAGCAATGTTGTTTTTCATGCTGATGGGCAGTGGCCCTTACTTGATGAGGTCAGCGTTACTGTCCAATTTGCCTCTGTGCTTCAGGCCTCCTGTCCAGGCAAAGATGCTTGCGATAGGGTTGGTACTGGTGGGATTGCCCTGCAGGGGAGGAAAACAGGTAGGCACAGTTAATTGCCAGCCACTGCTACAGAGGTAGCAGACCAAGCATTTAGCTTGAGAGAGGGGGAGACCTGTGTCCCTCCAGAGGCTGTTGGACCCCATCAGTCTCAGTTAGCATGGACAATACTTAAAGAGACTTAAAGCAACATTAGAGGACTACAGTTTCCCTATCCCTGCGGTGAGAACGCAGATGCAGCAAGTTGGCCAGAAGAGGGCGCTCACATCCCTCCCACTGGTCTATTTCATTCATTTATTTTATTGGCCATATTTATATCCTCCAATCACAGTGTTCACTGGGCAGCTTACAGCAATAAAACATTAAAATAAAATGGCAAAACTATAATAAGCAGCATATTTTCAGCCAGAAACAAGCAAACTAGCAGATCTTCACTAAAAGTACATGGCGATTCTAAGACTCAGTAGATTAAAAGGGTGAAGCTATTTGAAGCCTGGGAAGCTGAAAGGGTCTTCACCTGGTACAGAAAAGAGTGAAACAATATGCCTAAAGAAGGGGCCAGGTGAGCCCCCTCCACAGCCACCCAGTTGACCCACCTTCTGGTGCTCCCGGTAGTGGCGTGTAACAGTGCCGTGAGCTGCCTCCGCTTCGATGGTCTTCCCATCCGGGCAGACGAGGACGGAAGTCATGAGGCCGAGTGAGCCAAACCCTAGGAAAAAAAGCCCAACTCCTGTTGGCTGTCTCTGCAACAGCAGCTTTCCACACCCTCCTCTGTGGGGAAGGGGAGGTCCCTGGGCCACTTTGTTCCTGTGCCTATGAGGCGCTCCCCCTCTGGGGCATGAGGTACCTGGCACTCTATATCAACAGATTAAAGCCAAGTGCTCAGCTGACTCGCAAGGAAGGAAGAAACATCTGAATTCTCCAGCTTCACCATCAGCGGGGCATCTGATCTGCCAACCCACTCTGCAGAACAGACAACTGCAGCAAAGCTGGAGAACAGCCACAGGGAGAGAAAAGCCCATCTTCTGAGATGCTAGTCAGAAGGGCAGGAAGCGGGATGTAAAATGTTCTGGCCTTGCCTTGTGCAGTCTCCCTTCTGAGAACCATTAATCTCACGAAGACCTCAGCAACATGGCTTCCCCCTTGAGAGCAGAAACCTGCCCTTTTGAGTGCTATGCAGTCTTGGAGAAAGGCAATAGCTCAGTAGCAGAGTGCGTGCTTTGAGCATACAAGACCCCAGGTTCCATCTCCAGAGAGGGCTGGGAAAGGCTCCTGGTGAGGTGCTGCCAGTTAAGATGAACCAGTGGCAGCTCCCTACATGGGAGGGTCTAGCCCCCTGAAGTGCCCTGGTCACACAGCAAGCCATGTTCTGCGGTGCTATTGCAAGAATAGAGAAAACTCTTTCCCCCTGCTTTCCGGTCCCTAAAAGTTGCAAGCACACACACCACTTGCAGCCTTTCACATCTGCCCTCTCCCCTGCCCAGCGCCGCACCTTGGGCCAAGATGTCAGACTGGACATCTCCATCGTAGTTCTTGCACGCCCAAACAAAGCCACCTGCGGATTTTATCACCTGGGCCACCATGTCGTCAATGAGACGGTGCTCGTACCAGATCTTGAGCTTGTCAAAATCAGTCTTGTAGTGCCTGGCAGTGGAGAACAAGAGGTTACTTACTCATGCAGCATCAACCCTCTAATCCTCCTCACAAAGCACCTCCAACCCATCCCAACAGGGAGGTGCTCTGGCACTTAGGATCTCAGCAGGCAATGCTGGGTTTTGGGGAAGGTGGGAGAAAGCAACTCCCACCCACAGCTTCCTGGCTTAGGCCAAGAGGTGGGGTCAGAAGCGCTCACTTTTCAAAGATCTCCTGGAAGGTGTCCTTGAACCGCCCATCGTAGGCCTTGAGGATGGTGTTCTTTGTGCTCATGTAAAGGGGCCACTTCTTTTGGATGGCATACTGGAAGCAGCTGTGGGCAAAGCCCGAGATGGACTGCAAAAGGAAGACAGGGCCCTCAGTGGGACGTGACCCAGAAGCAGCAGCCTGCAGGAGCTGCCACCCTGCTATTTAAAGGGGAGCAGCAGGTCCCCAGGATGCAGCTTCCAGCCTCGCCCCATGGAGGGGACCCAGGAAGCAACTAATGCAGGGGTCCAGGTGGCATTGCCCTCACCTCATCTGTATTGTACATGCCCATGCCGACGCCTCCGCCGGGGAAGTTGTACACCTCCCACTCCTTGACTCCGCTGCCATCCTTGGGAGTGAAGACCATCTTAAACGTCCCAGACTTGTCCACAACGAAATCTGTGGCTCTATACTGGAAAGCAGAAACCCACATGTTAGGAGAGCCCAACAGTATCAAAGTGTCTCAATTCCCCACATCAAACCCCCTAATTAGCCGCATGCTGGGGCCTGCTCCCTCCCAATGTATTCTGTAGCTAGGATCCACAGTACTGTCCTGTAGAAGAACAAGGGGGGAGCCTCTGGAATCCTTTGGGTTTACCCCACCAGCTGTAGGAGGCAGGGGCAATTTGAGCTGAACTTCTAGCTTCTAGACTAGCCCTGTTTCATGAGCCCCTCACTAAGTGATTGGGTTTTTTCAGTTAATTTCGGTTTTTATTTTTCTCTGCTTACAGCCACCCACCTCCTCCACACACCCTAGAGAGGGACATAGCTTTTTTAACCACATGGGTGAAGGTGGAGGAATTGGGAGGCAAATATGCCTGCCCCCCCCAGGTATGACCCGCCTCTGGGAGGTTCAAGGGAAACTGAACCAAAGGAAGTTATGGCAGCTGTAGCTGGGCATTTACAGTGACCATCCATCCTTCCTCCACCATACCATGCTCATCACCCACAGCAGGGCTTTCCAGGCTGCCAAAGTCTGAGTGAGGGTCTGTTTCTTCTCTGCACATTTTTTGCAAAGTCTGCTTTATAGAGAGCATGAAGTAGTCAAGTTCAAGGCAGCTGGTCTCTCCTCCTGAAGATGGGAGGAGCCAACCCCAAAGGAGTCCAAATGTCCTCCTCACTTCACTGCAGAACAGGGCATTTACTATAAGAAAATTCTAGTTTTTTCTCTTCTGATTCTATTCCTATAGAAGATTATACAGCATTTGATTTTAGGAGAGGTATTTGAACCAAGTACAGTAGTACCTTGGGTTACAAACACTTCAGGTTACAGACTCCACTAACCCGGAAGTAGTACCTCGGGTTAAGAACAGAAATCGCGCGGCGGCGGCGACAGCAGCGGGAGGCCCCATTAGCTAAAGTGGTACCTCAGGTTAAGAACAGTTTGGGGTTAAAAACGGACCTCTGGAATGAATTAAGTTCTTAACCCGAGGTACCACTGTACCTAGTACTCAAGGATGAAGGAGATTTATCAGTGAGGTTCTTTCAAAGCTTTCTGTACTCTTGCCATCACTTCCTGACACAGCCAGCAGGATTCCAACAACATTCCCCCTGCTACTCCTGACTTTGTGCATGCCTGTCTGAGGTGGGGAGCAGATTGGAGCCAGACAGATAATCAAAACACAATTGCCAAGGGGGTAAGAGAGACTGACTGGCTCTGCTCTATCCCAGAGGGTTTGTAGAGAAGTGAATGCTCTACTCTCCCAGTTGCACATCCCGCCTTTCCCCCCAATCCAGCTGCCCATCC